CAACTGCAATCAACGAAAGCAAACACTGTTGAATTACTCCTTAACATGAATGAACTAAAAAAGCCTGAGATAGCCTATATGATGTTAGGAAAAGAGTCTAAACAAACTTTTGAAATTCCCATAGCAATACGATCATTAATTGATGAATATTTTGACATAACCCTTTTTAAAATTATTTATGGTCAGTCCATTTCTCACATTTTGGACATAACTTTTTTGCCCTAGCCTAACAAAATCAGTGCTGAATCCACAAATACTGTTGATCACATTAAATCAATCCAACAGCAAGTCCTCGAAAAACTCCAAAAGGCAAATTTTAAATACAAATCTACTGATGACAAACACCGGAGAGATTATTATTTTAAGGAGGGTGACTTAGTTATGGCTTATTTTTATCGTCAACGTTTTCCTGTTAGAACTTTTGGCAAGATAAGCCGGAAGAAATTTGGACATTTTCGCATACTTCGAAAATTGGGAACGTATGCCTATCTTCTGGATCTTCTATTTTCTGTTGGAACTCATGTATTTAATGTTGCTGACCTTACTTTGTATGAAGAAAATCCAACTGATTCTGTAGATGTAGAAACTTTACTAGTTACCAGCTCTGTTTAGGGCAAGGATGACCAGATTGAAGATGTTTTGGATATTAGGACTACTCAGACCAGGCATGGAGAGCACAAACGATTCCTAGTTAAATAGAGTGAACGTCCGTTGACTGATTGTATTTGGGTGGATGCAATGGATCTACAAAATCGTCGCCCTGATCTCTATCAAAGAGTTGTTGAAGCATTCTCATCAGGTGATGAGATTCTCCCACCAGGGGGGAATTGATGCATGCAAATTTCATTTCAATTTTATTTTGAACTTTATTATAATTTGAATTTTATATTTTTTATGTTTTTTTTCCTACCCTATGATGGAAGGCAACCAATGATCATGTGTAGATTGTGCTCTTGGACATGCTATGTCGTCGGTGTACTAGTTTCTTTGGTGCCATGGCATGTGGGCTGACTTGGGTTTGACCCAAGTTTCTTGGGTGTGTCTTGGTTGATTAGGGTATGGTTGGCTAGAGATTGATAGCATTTGTTGGAGGAGTTTGTGGTGGACGTTGGCCCAAAGTTGTTGTGGGGGACCTCTGGTTTGCATGTCTTTAAGTACTAATCATTTTACCTACTATTTCGATGCATGTAAGGTGACCACTAGCAAGTTGTTCTGAGGGTAGTTTTTTTTATATTTGGTTTTCGTTTATTGTTTAACTTCTGTTTGTTTTAAGTTTTGTTTGGTGTTGGCTTATTAAATTATGAATTGAGACAAGTTCTTCTTGCCTTAGTGTTCTTCTTTGATTTTTTTTCAATCTATTTTTCTGCATCAAAACTCTTCACACAATATAAAATTATAAATTAGCATCAATATTACATTTTGGCACATCAGGATCAGCCATGACATCCATACATGGACTGTTCGGAAACCTGCTGACAGCAATCGGACAAAGGCTCACGAACAGAAGAAATGTCCCGAGTAGACTCCAATGATAGCTCAATGCAATCCTTACCATTACATTCGACATATCCACAGTGACGAAGGAAACCAAATCGCAACGAACACTGGACATGTTCTGATCGGGCTTCAACACAGGTTCGCACATAAGAATGTCATCCAAGGAAGGTTGTTCGAGATCCACAAAAGAAGCATCAGCAGCGGAATGCTTTGAATTAGCTAAAAGGGCGTCATTAAGAACCTCCTCGCAAGCTTCAGAATCCATCCCTTCCAATATCTTCCAACAGTTCCCTTTCCTAGTAGCCTTCCTACCATCGCTACTCCCACCAGATTGTGGAGAACACCGTCTGCCTCTCCTACTGGCCATCTTCAACCCAAAACAGCTCAAGCAAAGTTCGCCGACAACCACAACCAAGTCAATGAACTCCTCGCTCCCATCATTCCCTATTAGCAGCTATAATAAACTTAGTTAATATTTAACTTGAGGTTGGACTTGATATTATATGTTAGTTTTACTTAAATTATTAAATTTTATGTTACTTTGTCACGTTGTTATTTGCATTACAATTCTATTTTATGCAATTTATCAATTATTCAATTATTTCTTTACATCTTGCATAATTTATAACTTCATATGTATGTCAATTTATTACTTCATAGTATATTAGAATATTAGTATGTCATTCCATAATATATTCTATTTTTATAATGCTAATAAATTACTTCTAACATTCATTTTCACTTTATGCAATTTTTAGATTGTGATTCTTACATCTCAAATGCCTTGAGGTTTATGCTAGGGCTCACAGACAAAAAACACCTAAATACTCAATTGCACAATTTTAAATCTTGTATCACACTGTTAGTTCATAAAAGATTTTACCCACCGTTGAGTTTGCATATAAAAGTTATAACAAAAAGTCAACTGACATAAGCCCTTTCCACAATTTTACTAGATATGAACCTATGAAGCCATTAGATTTAGTATATTTACCTAAGGCCAATGAATTTGAAAGATCATTTCTCCAAAGCATGCAAATCTTCACAAAGAAATTCAAAAAAGGCAATAAATTGTGGAAAATATAAATTTGATGTTGATTTACATAGGAAACTTATTAAATTTATTTTGGGAGAAAGTTTTAATTGAAATTCAACCAAAGAAGAACTCTCGAGAAGTTATCAACACCAAATTTTGGACTAAAGAAGAGATTGTACATGTAATAAGTGACCGTGCTTATGAGTTAGATCTGCCTTCGAATTTTGGCATTTCACCATTATTCAATGTGGTTTCCTTGAATCCATATTGAGAGTTGACAAGTGAAACTTTGCCTCCTAAGATATTGGTGACCACCTCTACCTCCATTTCTACATTGACATTGCTATCAACATGATTTCTATGTTTCCACTTTTCAGATCAATTTTTTAATGACCAAATTAGTTCCATTATTGATGGTGGAATTCAACGCTACCTAGTTTTAACGGAAAGATCTTTCACCACTTGAGGACCCTTGGTTAACAATTGAGGAACTACAACTATTCCTCGAGTTGCTTTCAAAGAACCAAGATCTTCATTTGGAGTTAAATTTTTTAAAGTCATTATCATTGTAATCTATATAGAGTTTGTATCTTAAGCACTTAGGACATTATAGTTACACTTTTCATTTGATTGTATTGCCATTTTGTTGGGCCCTTGTGTTTTTAGGTCTCCATTTGATGGTGCATATTGGACTTTTTGTGTTATTGGGCCTTCTCTTTTTGGGTTGGGTTTGCTTGGGTTGGGGTTGGTTTGGGGTGGGGTGGTGGGGTCATATTTGTATTACTGATTTAATAGGTTTTTACCAACCCATGATTCTTAGAATAATGATTGGTGGTGGTTTTATATGAAAATTTTTCCATCTATTTTACTTCTCCGCCACCCATTTTTTTGTCTTCAACACCTTTTTTTTACTAATATACAATTTTTTTAATCTCATCTCCTCGGTTTTGAAAGCTTATAATTGACAGTTATGTCCTTGGGCTATATGTATAAATAGCAAAGGAACAAATAGTCAATTTGGAAAAAACTTATTGTCAGCCTCTTTCAGATATGAATCTATCTGATTCAGAAGGGAATAACTTGCATCAGTATCTCAGTTTCAATTCAAACATGGGCTTGATTTACACCCATGTTCTGAGAAGTATTTACCATCCGAAAAGAGAAAAAAAAAAGAGTCTTTGTCTAAAGAAATGCGTTGAGAAAGGGCAGATGTATAGAACCTTTCAACGATATAGTGCTTTTTCAAATCTCTCAAAATGGAATATGTTCCAAACATATATGCCATGTTTCCTTACTCGACAGGGTGCAAATATCTCAATTTCACCCTTTTAGATACTCTTTCAAACCCATTGTCGATACTGAGTAGTAGTTAAAAATTCAAGAAACATCCTAAGGGTCGTACTTCTTCCCCGGTAGGCAGGTACAACCAAACATATAGGTCGGTACAATAACATCCTGAGGGTCATACTTCTTCCCCGTCCAATAGGGGATCAAAATCAAGAAATACGTCCCGACCTATCAAAGGAAAGGTAGTACAACCCAAAAGAAGAACCATCAACAAGCAAAGTACAAAAACAAAAAGAAAGAGTAGAAGATGCGCAGGTTCAGCCAACCCAAGAGGTCGGAAGAGTAACGGATCCTCGAACACTAGTGAATGATGACACTAAAATGAAGGTTTGTGAATAGAATGTCCTGGTTAGCCCCAACCACGTTTTAGGCCGCTCGGTAGATGAGATACTGGAGGAGTTGAAAGCTAGTATAAGGCAGATTGAGGAGGTTGAGGGCATGAAGGCATGAATAATGAAATGAAAGTTTGAGCTTCCTTGTTATTGTGCTTGAGTTGTCTATTTGTTGAAGCAAAAGACTTCTTCAGTGAAGGCAGTGAATATCCTTAGTGAATGACTTTAACAATGAAAGACTAATGGAGAAGCATTTTTTTGGGTTATTTCAACATTATTCTTATTTACATATACTATTCGCCTTTAAACCTCCATTGTAAGATTTCATCTTATTATGTATAAATAATTAACTTAAATTTTGATTAAAAATCTGTTAGCATTAAGTTCACCATGTGCAAATAGCTTCATGTTTCATTGTCATTTACATGTATAGTCCTATAGATACTTTATTGAATCTAGCTAAAACTCTAGTCTTTTGTTGGATTTCTTTCAATCTTCCCAGTAATTAGTTTTACATATAATTTTTACTATTTACTAAATCTTTAATTGAATTTACATGTGAAGATCAAAATTTAGCCTTCGTCATCCACTATGATAACAAACTTATAATTTGCCTGCAATAAGAAAGGTGTTTGGGGGGAGGGGTTGATTTCTGATGTGACGATGATATTGAAAAGAAAAATCCAATATGTTGCACAATAAAATACAGTAGACCACCAATTAGAATATAATATCTCTAAGAATCTTGTAATTCGGAAATAATAAAAGCTCCAACACGATCAGCTTACCTTTTGGAAAATTGGATACTCTGCCTTGTACCTCGTACATGCAAACTCCTTTGCATCCTGGCTTGTTCCAGGCTCTTGTTTCATAAATTGATTACAAGGAAAGGCTAAAATCTCAAAATCTAAATAGGACAAGAAATAGAAGAGATCAGCCATCATGGAACATTATTTTACCATCTACTAGATCTATTGTACTAAAGATTCATCAACCTCAAAAAATTTAATTTATTTAATTTTACAACACTAGAACTAGGAACAATCATCAATTTACAAACGCAAATATGGAAAGAATAAGGAAAATCATCATTAATGAAGCTAAAACCTATATATAAGTTCCCTTGTTTTATTATTATTTTTTTTCTAAACTGCTGTGCTTAGAATCCAATGGAGTAACTTGTCAAAACAATTATACAGCAGGACGCCCACATTAGTGACAAAATCAAAAAAATTTATAGAGAGTTTTAAGTTTAGTAAATAATGTCAGCAACTCAGCATCACATTTTAAACATGTAGCAGTTCAAAATGATAATGGAAATTAAATGGAGAGTAATTTTAAAAGGCTATTAATGTAGCACTCTCACAGTAGCACGTTAGTGACAACATAAAAACTTATACATAATCTCACATTCTAATAAACAATACCACATTTTAAAGCTGTAAGAGACAACACGTCCAAATAATATGGACAATAGAAATAGAAACAGAAGAAGGAACTCAAAGTGCACATGCTGTAAAAGGGAAGCAAGTGAGCAATCTTCAATGCCCGATTAAAGAGACTTCACTTGAAAGAAGCAGCCTACTTTTCTAGGCTCCAGTTCACATATGAATCAGAACTCTAGTTTCTTCAGGCAAGTCTCTAAGGGCAAAGTGGTGCCATTTCAGGCATTTCAAAAAATGATGTACGGTGTTCTGATGCCATTGCTTGCCGAATGCAATATCTGACTAATGAAAAAAATAAAAATAAAAAATAAAATAAAAAAACATGAACAAAAAAAGTCAAAAAAATAAGTGATCTTCACCAAAAACTGAAAATTTTCAACCAAGTATGGTAATAGTGGACACCAATTTCCTAGAAATGATCCATTCTCATGGTAAATGCAATGCCAGACTAAATATATAACATACCACACAACATGATGGGAAAATTTTCAAAGGGAAAATGAACTTCAATATGAATTGAAAAGTTTCCAACCAAGGACATTAATGGTAAGCACCAAACCCCCCTAAATGGTTGCTAACTCATGATATCATCTGGACGCTATGACAGAGTAATTTAGCATTGTCTAACTAAAGTTATAAAACTTAAACTCAATGAAATGAAATTAAAAAAAAAAAAAAAGTGAAACAAGCATAGCAATCATCAACACCCAATATGGGGTGATTCCGATGACTTAAATTCTTTTCTATCTATTAGTCAAACGCCATGAACATGAAAAGGTCAGAATTTAGGACCTTCCTTTATAAAGACAAACATATAACAACAAAATAGAGTTAAAGAGAAAAATCAAACCTTTGTTCCTGTACTTATTGTAGAGTTCTGTCAATTGGGTATAATTGTTATCAGTTAAACCACTGTTCCATAGCATAAAAGGAAAATAATGAAACCATCTCAATACAAAAAAACAAACAGAAAAAACAAAAATGCAAAAGAGAAGGAAAAAAGAAAGAACCATTTAGAAGCGACATTGACGACAAGCAAGACCTTTCCCTTGTAGAGCCCTAAATCGACCGCCTTTCCAGAGCAATCCTACAACCCATAAAAACAAGGAAAATTTTACCAGGTGATCCGAAATTCCGAATCAAAATCATCGAGTAAAACAGAAAAGAGAAATTGGCCGCTCACTTTGACGGTGAATTCGTGGATCGAGTTCGCTGTTGGGGAGGAATGAGAAGCCCCCATCTGTTCCCAGCCCAAAATTTCTGGTTATCGCTTCGTCTTCTCAGATTTTTAATGCGTCCGACACCTTCACTGAGATTTTTATGGGCATCAAATGAAAATTTTAAAGCCCTTCACGTTTCTCGAGAACCAGCTAACTTCCTGCTCTTCCCTGAATATTTGGTAGAGTGGAATAAATTTGGTCAGGATATTTATCCCAGCTAAGTTTGATGTATTTACTATAGCTGTTTAAATAAATAAAAGGGGCTATTTTTTCATTTCAAAAGTCGTTTGGAACAGTTTGTTTCCCCTTTTTTAAATATTTTTTTAAAAAATTATTTTGAAAATTTATGTCAAAGGAAGCCCTAATCTCTCTTACACTGGCTAGCCTAGCACCTTCTTCTGTAAAAAATAAAAAAATTTAAAAAATAAAAAAGCACCTTCTTTAAAAGAAAGTTGGGTGAGGATATTAAAATTTAATTAAGATACCTTAATAAAGGCTTTATATCTCTACAAAATTTTAAAAAGGAACGGATTAATAATTAAAATTAGTTATATGACCAGAATCAGGGGATAATTTAAAAATGAGCAAAATCGGAATTTCATTTTAGATGTTTTAAGAAATTAAAAAAAAAAAACACACGGCTTGTTGCAACCGGAAAATAATTTTTCGGTTTTCTTTTTTTTTTTGGGAAAAATTTGGGCTTCGCCCGTATATTAAACCACTAAATAGAAAGTTTAGTTACAACCGAGGATTACAAAAGGTCCCAACAGACAAAAAGGGACTGCTCATTCGAGCACAAAAAGGAGCTCGAATTAGATCAAGTATATGTGAGAAGCAAAATAACTGCAAATCAAAAGGCACAAAAAAGAAAAAGCTCCATAGAATCGAAACACCTGGGCTCAGATATAGGAGAAAAACAATCAAAATACCCCTTGGTTGCCCGAAGACCATCCTAAGGGGGTCTGCTTAGGAGCTTCATCATTGACCAGGTGTTGAAATATCGGCACAGCAGGCACAAAGGTGTAACCCCAACCTCAGAGCAACCACCAGCAAAAGCAATAGAACCGAATTTGAGCCAGAGCATAAACCTACAGGAGAAAAGAAAAGACGCCCAGCAAAGACAGTAGCTATGTATGGGACTGAGATCTATCATTCCACATACAAATCTTAAGATTAACATCTTTTTTGATGCAAAGAGTAGTAGTGGAACTACTGTTAAAAATGTTAGCAAATCTTCTCGAATTTCTCTCTTTCCAGATATAGTAAATGCTACAGTAAGAGAAAATAGAATAAAGCTTTTTTGTATGCTGAGTAGTGTCAGGATCATTCGTGATCCATTCCAGAAGCTGCAGAATACTAGGTCTGAGGAGCAGCTGCCTAGCAACAGGCATAATGCTAATCAGTATTTCATATGAGTAAGAGCATTCAAAAAACAAATGAGAAGAACTCTCAGGAAATACATGACAGAGAGAGCAAACATTCGGAATTTGAATATTGCGGATCAGCAGGGCATCAGAAGTTTTAAGCCCACCGACAAGAGCCAACCACGTAAAAGCAGAGTAACGCAGCGCATGGCTCTTATGCCAAACTAATTTATACCAGGGACAAAAAGGCATGTTAGAGTGAAATGCATTTATGTAATCAGAAAACCTGCTAAGCTTAAGATTATCCCAAAATAAGCAAGAACTGGAATGAGTGAATATGGGAATATCTTGAATAGCCAGCTTGACATTCACGGGAATTTCATTTGGCAAGCTCCAGCAATTATCTCTAATCAGGTCCCTTATAAGAGTATTCGGATTAGTATGCAGGAGAACAAAATGGCCATCCGAAAAACTATCCATATTACCATTATAACACCAATGATCCCAATGCACAGCAATAAGGGCAGACGGAGTAATCTTAAAAGAAAATTTCATTTTGGCTACCTGGGCCGTCTGGCAAACCGACTACCAAAAAGAAGTAGCATTGTGGGGAGAAGGTCTCCAAGGAGACATGTATTTTACAGTGAGCCAAGTGGAGAGCAAAGAACCAGAATTATACATTCTTAAAATGACTGCACAATTGAAAGCATACTGCATAGCAGAGAAGGAAGGCAGCCCTAAGCCACCATTTTGAATCGGTAAACACACCTTATCCCAAGCCACCATATGAATTTTTTTGGAGACACCAATATCCCCAAAATTTACTATAAAAAAATAATAATTTAATAATTTATTATAACAGATGAATAATTTTTTCCGGTTTCTAATAACCTGACTTTAATATTTTATTTGAATCTCTTTTATTTTAATATTATATATAATAGTAAATATTTTCTAAATGAAAATTAAGTGGGTTTATATTCAATAAGTTGTTGAGAGAAACTTAACTAAATTGTTTTTTTAATATATTTTTTATGCATAATTATTGATATATCATCTAAAATTTGTCTTGATCGAGCACGAATCTCGAGGCAAAATTGAGTTGAAAGTTTTCAAAATTAAATCCAAGACCATCTAAACTCTGTTTTCAGCAAACTTATAATCGAAGTGAACGTTTCGAAAAGACAAACCCAATGACATCAAATTCGACTCAATCCGAGCCCAAATGGGTCAAAATCAAAGACTTAAAGTTCATTTGGAAGGTTCAAGTTATAAAATTGATGACCATACGGTTTTCAAACGTGATATGCTTATTTTCGAATTGTGTGGCTCGACAAAAAAAATCCAACAAGCACAAGATCGTCGAATTATGATATCATTAAGACATTCAAAATGCCCAGCAAACTGTTCACGACCAAGGGGATCAACATCGGTCATCTATTCAAACCACTTAGCATACACGTGATCTCCCTCTTATTTACTGGTCACATCACTCTCAGAAAACTATAAATAAATCCCTCATTCCTCATTGAAAGGGGATGGAAGCAAGGAAGAGAATGAAGAGAGATAAACTAGAGCTTTATTGCCACCAAACTCCTCGTCATCCACCGTCGGACCACCAACCATTGACGGACTATCGCTGGACTTTCGCTTGGCCACTGACTAACGTCGGACTTCCACCCAGCTTCCAATTATTGTTGGACTTACTCCCGACCACCAGCTGACGCTACACTTCTACTCGGTAACTAACTAACACTAGACTTCCACCCAGCCACCAACTACGGTACTTCCGACCTCCATTGCTATACAATGATTTTTTATGACCAATGTAGCCAACCTATTATGGTCCTTTTGACCTTCGTCACCATACAAAGGTCATTCAAACCATTGTTGCCTGCAGACTACGATCCTTCCAACTTCTGTTGCCAGACAATGGTCTTTTTTACTATTGTCGCCCGCAGACTATCGTCCTTCTGACCTCCGTTGCCAGACAATGATCTTTCTAACCACTGTCATCTACCGATTATGGCCCTTCCAACCTCCCTTGCTAGAAAATAGTCTTTTCCGAACACTATTTCCCTCCAATTACAGTCATTTCGACCTCCGTCACTAGACAAAGATCTTGCTTACCATTATCTCTCACTAATTGGAGTCCTTCGGACCTCCATCACAAAACAACAGTCTTTCTGAACATTATTGCTCTTCGACTACAGTCTTTCAGACCTCCATCATTGAATAACAGTCTTTCGACCACTATTGTCCACCAGACAATGGTCTTTCTAACAACTATCAACCACCGACTACAGTTCTTCTGACCTTCATCACTAGACAACAATCTTTCTGACCACTGTATCCCACTAACTACGATCCTTCTGACCTCCTTTGCTAGACAATGATCTTTCTGACCATAATTGCATTTAGACTACGATCCTTTCGACCACCGTCTCTAGATAATAATTTTTTAACCATTGTCACCCGCTGACTATAGTCCTTTAGACCTCCATCTCAAGACAACAGTCTTTTTAAAAATTATCATCTGTTGACTATGGTCTGTCTGACCTCTGTAGCTAGAAAATGGACTTTATGACCAATGTCGCCCTCCGATTATGGTCCTTTTAACCTCCAGACTGAAAGTTCGTTAGGGATGTTAAGCCCTATAGAACTGGCCCAAGGCTAAATAAATGAGAGGTGAATTGGAAAACTTTAAAACCAAAGATAAAACTCCAACCAAAATCACCACAAACAAAGTGCGGAAGAAAAAAATAAATGCAGAAGCGATAATAAGGAAGAACACACCGGATTTATAGTGGTTCGGTCAAACCTTGACCTACGTCCACTCCTTAGAGGCACCCTCCAAGTATTGCACTAAAATAAGTGTCTCTCCTTTAGCCCCCACAGCTAGGCGGAGAAGCCCTTACAAAATCACTTCCACCTTCCCCAGTGCGGCGGAGTCACCAGGTCCTTTGACACCAAGGAGATCTTCTTGTTTCGTGAACTTACCTCGAGAAAAGCCTTGAATCCGATGGTACTAAGGTGCGAGTTCGCCGGAGCAACCGTGTGGAATCTCCTCCACACTCCCTTGAGTTCCTCCCCCTCACAGGTTCTTCTCCCTCTCAAACTCCACCCTTTCCTCTCTCTCTTTCAAACTCTCTCTTCAAGTCTCCCCCACAAGAACGAAGCTCCAATGGCTGCCAAAGACACTTACAAAAGTTGCCATGTCATAGCTTAAATAGAAGCTCTCAAAACGAGCTCATTAATGCAAGTTGCCGACATTATCGTCTAGGATGATAGACATATCGTCCTGGCCGATTAGTTTAAATATGAGGAAAATCGTTCTGAATATCGCCCTGAAATGAAGTTGGACGATGTCTAATCGTCCCGGACGATCTTGCGATCGGCCTAGACGAAAATAAAAATATTTTTGTTGTTTTAAATTTTTTAAAAATAATGATACAAATTCAATAGAATATTCTCCCCCTTTGACATTATCAAAAAGAGAGGAGGAACGAAAAACAAAACACAAAAAACATTTCCTGATCTAGTGAGAAAACAAAAAATTCTGAAAATGATAAAGTTAGCTCTTGGTTTTAATCAAAATCATAGTAGAATCGGATTTGACAACGCATAGCCCAGAAAAGGTTAAAAACTCAGAAATTGATAATCCAAACTCAAGTTCTTTAAAAAGGCAAAAAAAACTTTTTGATTCAAGATCTAAATCAAGGAATAAATTAGAGAAAGAAACAATAATTTTTTAAAACTCCTCTATAAAATATATCTAATAGAAGATCAATGCACAAATTTTTGAATCAAGAATCAAGATTTTCATACTCAAATATCGAAAGTAACAAGGGTTTTCTTAAGCTTTTTAAGAAGTACAAGAATGGTAAGCATTAACTTTGTGGGCTCATTTTATGCCTCTTTACAATTGGTTGGCGCACTGCGCATCTTTTGATACACTTTATGTATTCTATATTTTCAATTTGGCGTCTTTGCGCATCTTTTATTTTTGGCATCATTGGCCAATTTTTTTAATATGCTTCCTTTCTTAAATCTTAAAAACAAAGGAAAACCCATCTCTGTATAATAGTCTTTCTGACCACTATCGCCCTTTGACTATGTTCCTTTTTACCTCTATCGCCAACCAACAATTTTCTAACCACTGTAGCCCACCGACTAAGGTCCTTTTGACCTCCGTCACCAATCAACAATCTTTCTCACTACTATCACTTTTGGACTCATGTCCTTCCGACCTCCATCTCAAGATAACAGTCTTTTTAACCACTATCGCTCGTGGACTAAAATTTTTCTATCATCTGTAGACTATGGTCCTTCAGACTTGCATTCCCAGACAAATTATCTTTCTGATCACTATCACCCACCAACTATAGTCCTTTCAACCTCCTTTACCAGATAATGGACTTTCTGACCACTATCGCCCTCCGACTATGGTCCTTCTAACCTTCGTCGCTAGATAATGGTCATTCTTACCACTATAGCCCACCGACTATGGTCCTTTTGGCCTTCCTTGCTAGGTAATGGTCTTTATGACCACTGTAGCTCACAAACTATGGTCCTTCCGACCTCCATCACCAAACAATGGTCTTTCTGACCATAGTCCATGTAGATTGTGGTCCTTTTGAACTCCGTCGCCACATAACAGACTTGCTACCCATAGTCGCTCGTAGACTACGGTGCTTTTGACCTCCATCACTAGACAACGGTCTTTTTGGCCATTTTCTCCTTCCAACCTTCGTTGCCAGACAACGTTCTTTCTGACTATAATCACCCATCGACTAAGGTATTTTTGACCTCCATTACTAGATAAAAGGTTTTTCTAACCACTGTGGCTCACCAACTATGGTTCTTCTGCCCTCCTCCAAACAATGATCTTTCTAGCCATTGTCACCCACAAATTATAATCCTTCTGACCTTCGTTGCCAGACAATGATCTTTGAGACCATCGTTGCTCAGTCATTCTTACCTTTATCACCAGACTATGGACCTTCTGACCTTTATCACTAGACAACAGACTTTTCAACCACTGTCTTCTATCGACTATGGTCCTTCCAACCTCCATGGCCCGACAACGGTCTTTCTAACCACTATCGCCCGCTGACTACGTTCCTTTCAATCTTCATCACCAGACAACAATCTTTCTAACCATTATCACCCTTTGATTATGGTCCTTCCTACCACCGTTATAATATAATGATATTTCTAGCCACTCACTGACTATGGTCCTTTTTACCTCCATCGCCAGACAACTATCTTTCCAACTTCTATCATCAAATAACGATCTTTCTGTCCATTATAGTCTGTCAACTATGGTCCTTTCAACCTCCATTTCCATAAGACTACCTTTATGAACACTATCACCTGTGAACTATGATCCTTCCAACCTCCGTTGCATGACAACAGTCTTTCTAATAACTATCGCCCACCGACTATAACCTTTTTGATATTTGTCTCCTGAAAATAATCTTTCTAACCACTATCACATGCAGATTATGATCCTTCTAACCGGCAATGGTCTTTTTGACCACTATCGCCCGCCA